CTATCTATCTATCTATCTATCTATCTATCTATCTATCTATCTATCTACCTACCTACCTATTAAAAATGATTTCCTCCAAAGATAAGAACACCATTAAGTAAAAAAAATTAAGAAGGTGAATTTCACTCATTTTCAAAAGATGAATGCAACTGAATTCTAATGATTTCTTCCAATATATCAAAATCAAGAACAGTTAAGAAACAACTGCCACTTGCTATATCAAATTTGGAAGGTTTCTTGTGCAATGGTTAAAATGCAGTATCGCAGGCAAAACTGCCCATTGCCAGGGGTTCGATTCTGACTGGCTTAATAGCAATAGCACTTAGACTTATATATCGCTTTACAGTGCTTTACAGCCCTCTCTAAGCAGTTTACAGAGTCAGCATATTGTCCCCAACAATCTGGGTCCTCACTTTACCCATCTCGGAAGGATGGAAGGCTGAGTCAACCTTGAGCCTGCTGAGATTTGAACTGCCAAACTGCAGGCAGCCAGCAGTCAGCAGAAGAAGCCTGCAGTACTGCATTGTAACCACTGCACCACTGTGGTTTAAGGTTGAATCAGACTTCCAAGGTCTGACTCTCCAAACCGCTTAGAGAGGGCTGTAAAGCATTATGGAGTGGTATATAAGTTTAAGTTTGCTCTGTTATCCTTCAGGTGTATGGTCAACAATTCAAAGAATATATATGAAATGTACAAGAAATAAGAATCTTTTGCTGGAACTATGAGAGTTTAGTCATGATTGAGTAAAAGGACCTAGAGTTGAAGTTTTCTACAAGCACATAAACTCTTGTATCGGTTACAGACCCAGATGTTTATTGTCTATGGGGAAAATAATCTTTCTCTTAAGACAGTGGAGTTATCCCTCACAGCTACTATACAGTCTAGGAAGAAAACACCAATAATTTTGGCATTCTAAAGAGACAAACTCCAAAGCATCTTTTGGAAATTAACTGAAGGGTAGCACAACACTCCAAAAGAGCAGATACAGTTACTTGTTTAACAGCCACCCATTCAGTGACCATTTGAAGTTATGGTGGTGCTTACAAACTGTTCTTTGTAGTTGTAGCTGGAACTTAGCTCACAATTACAACAGTCACAGAAACTTGTAGTCATGTGATCACCATTTGCAACCTTCAGTTATAATTGAATGAGCAAAGAAACATTGTTAAGATTTAGTCATTTACATACTACAAATAACTCATAACAGCTTGTTATTTCTGCACATACTTGTTTCCACATAAGCATTATATATTATACAATCATAAAACACAACATAGTACACAATTATCTACCAAGTTCCAAGTCAGCTGGGTTTAAGGATTATCATTAATCATTTTCTTTAATGTTTGCAATTAACTAAAGAGATCTTAAAAGCCTTGTCAAAGACACTTGTTTAATGAACATAAGAATTTCCCCTTTCTTGCTTTAACCCACAAAGTAAAATTATAGGCTATACAGCCTATTTAGTCTAAGAAATTCAAGGACTTCCCACATTTAGATTTCACATGTATAGCTTAAGTTTATTTCTGATAATAATCTTTGTTATTCTGAAATTGGCTTAATAAATGTAAGAGTTTTATAATACATCTTGAAAAATATTGATGGTTTGAGATAGGGAACAAAGTAATTTTCCAATTTCTGCTTGGAATAGAATTATGAGTCTGACTTCAATTTATATTTTATAGTTTTATAGTGAACTACACTACCACATTTTCCTAACATTCTACATGGTGGAAAGCCATTACTAAAACAAATATTTGTCAAACCTGGAAACTGGCATTAACATACCTGTAGTTAAAGGAAGGTGAATGACAGTTTTTAAACATGTCAAAGTATACCAAAAGGATGACAGAGTTGCTCCTGACAGTAACAGAAGTAGGATAAGTTTCAGCATTCCTCTGATAAAATCGGCAAACCTAAAACATAAACCATAATTTTAAAATCATTCATACAATATGTGATAAAAAAGTATAGATTAGCTAACATACATTACCTAAAGTGCTAGATAGAATTATTAAAACAGTGTTTTCTGATGTAATGGTTTGTTCTAGAAAGGTATCAATAGACACAAAGATGCATTACAATATATATGATAATTTTGAATTACTAAAATGAGCCTTAGATATACTGGTAAGTCTATGTTTTACTTTTATTTTATTCTTGGCTGAGAAAAATATCTTAGGAAGTGAAACAATTTGCTAAATATTGGAAATTAACCCTTCCCTCCAATTAATGAGGCATTGTAAATGGCTTCATACTATTTTTCTCAGTTCAACATCATCTTGAGCTGAGTATTTCTGCTAAGTTCAATGGGCTGGGCTAGATATAAAGTTTGATCTCAAAAGTATTGGCATACCCATTTTCACCCATTTTTGTAGAAACCTGGATTATTTTAGCCATTTATCCTGGATTACTCTAATGGGCTGATGAAAAATGAATTAAGACCACTGCGCCAAAAAGGGATAACCAATTTAAATTTATTGGAATAACAGGCAAACTGGTGATATGTCAGAGAAAAACAGTGAAACCATACTGTAATATAAAATTATTTAAATGAACAAATCGCATTATAATGAAATGCTTAATGAATCACAACAGAATACAATTATTAATCAAATAAAACAACTGAAACAAAATTTCCTCAACTACTTAGGGAATAATAAATGATGAATCGGGAACTATTGAAGGAATGATGAATACTAATATAAAATTAAACTTTTGCTAACTTCATTTTTTAAAATCAGAATGTCTTTCCATCTTATTGCGAGACATTAAAGGTTGGGGCTACAAAGAATTCAGGATCATATTTGGTGGCACCAAAAAGAAATACAGTAGTTGCCTCCTTTTTAACATTAGCATTTTTATAGACAATGGTATCTTTTAATGAAAAAGGAATTTCATGACCTAACTGGCTACTAAGTTTCTGGTGTCAATCCTGAATATCATTTATTATTTTTCCCTAGTCTATATATTTGGTTGTTGTTTATGTGCTGACCTTTCAAAATTGATATTAAATTTATACATAGTTAGATGAAAGCATTGCTTTTTTGCCTCTGGACTTCGCAGTCAATAATCTTATTGATTTATGAAAATATAAATGGAACAGGTTTAGATTCCCTTCAATCATGAAAAAAGTGCAGAAACACTATCTGCTCAAGATTTTAAAATTATTTCTCCTAAAGTGTAATATATCTGTGATTTATTGTTCATCAGATCTTTCCATGAATTAAAGCACATTGCAACTTCATATTGTGGCTGAGTAGAGAGGAGCTCAATGAATATTTTTGAAAGCTAGTTCAGGTTCTGGGTATTTAAACCAAGATCCTTTAAAGATATGTTAGTTCAAGCCATGTTCCCCAGCAATCTTTCTAGTGCAAAGGTAGCCCAGATCAACCATCATTGTTCAGATTCTGTCTTCCAAATAGATCTGAACCCTCCTTCATCACACCCTTAAAGCATACAAGTGACTCAGGCTTCATTTATCAAACATTTATTAAGTCCCTTGTTCATATAGCTGCAGAAAGTGGCTAGACTCACAAAGTTAACATTTTCTGAACTGAAAAGGGACAGCCTTCTGACTTTGTGCCACTTGGAGGGCACAGGATCTTTGCCTTTGGGAGCTGAAGGACAGAAGACAATTTATCAGCTTGCATTAATTCACCAGCTTGCATTACAATGAATTGTTTGTATTGATTTTTATAGACAATTTTTATAAGCCTCTTAGTGTCTTATACACACTGAGTGATATGTAAGCCAAGTGAATCTCTCAGACATATCTGCTGTTGTAGGGGAAGGGGAAGAGGACAGTACCCGATTTAAAGTTTCTGAATGAAAAGTAGGATATAAATTAAATAAACTACCTGGGAATAAATAAAGACTATATTGACCCCAAACCACCTAGCTATAGGCCATTCTGGTTGAAAATTCTGGGAATTAAGGTCCCAGCTTTCAAGCACAGCTTTTATGTATAAAGTCAATGTCTTTTTGTTAACATTACGCACAGAGAAATACTTCCTTAATTATTAGACAACAACTGGCACTAATAATTGCCATTTCAGACCATGTCTTGCATTCCAACTGCCCTAAGAAACAGCATTCTGCTTTTTTCTATCTAGCAACTAACATTCAGAAAAATTGGTCTAGTTCTAATTTATTCTCCACTCACACACTTTATCACGTCTGCTGTTCGTTTCTTTTCCTCCTTTTTTTCTTTCCAACAAATTGCAATGTAGCCCTTGACCTTGAGCTTCCACTGAGAAAGCAGTTCAATTCCTACTACAAGACACCATGGAGCATATTGCTGTCACCCTTTTAATTTGGACCAGTATTTCATGAACTAAAAATGTCACTTTGTATGCATCATTTAGTTCACAGTTTAATTAAATCTTTAAACCCCTCTCCTTATTGCTATAGATATCACCCTATGTTGCAAAGTTGTTGCATTTTGACTTTGCTGTAGTTTAATGCTGAAGGAAATGTTGAGCTATGAAGGACAAAACTTGAAAAATAACTCTGGCCATTATGAAATATGACAAGAAAAATGCTATTTGTGTGTGTATGTGTGAGAGAGAATCAGGTTGATTTGCAATGCTATGTAATTTAAGTTAAAAAAAAGTTTTTCTTTCCTTCCCCAACCCAAATTAGCTTCGTTCTATAGTGAATAAGAAAAGCATACAATACCTACCAGCCACTAAAATATCTATGGCTCTTCAATCATAAACATCCCATATAAATTATCTCAAATTTCTGGTCTGAAGTCAGGAGAGTGGCATAAATCTCATGTGGAGGAAGGCACTATATACCACTGGTAACAAAATAATGAAATTTGAGAGCTCATTTTCCAACTCTGCTTTCCTTTGACAGGCATAATTTTGTACCACAGGCACAAACGTTTCTATTAGATGCAGAGATTGCTTCACATCCAAATGATAGCTTCAGCACCATCCAACTGGAAAGAGGTTTAAATGTAGTGTCCTTTATAGATTGCATTTAGCCAGTAAATAATACTCACCAGGTGAGTGAAATTATATTGCAATTTATTGCAATGGGTGGTGGAAGGATTGGGATTGAATTATAGTGTAGGATGGAATAAATCTCCACTAGAGTTGTAAGAGGAAATTCCAGAGCTACTAAGCAAATTAGCAACTCATGGAACAAAGCAAAACAAAGTCTCCACGCTTATAGTTTATTAGAAAATATACCAAGCTGCCTTTAAGTCACAAGATCATCACAGAAATCCATGAGCCTGTCGGACCTTACAAAAATCATTATCTAATTTTCCTAATTACAACTTTCAGCAGATGATACTCAGCAAAGACACTGATTTAATTTTATACAGAGAAATTGCTGAATAGGTCTAAGGAATGGGTGTCATTTATCAAAAGAAATAAATTGCTACTCTTTTTGCATTCAAAATTCTGTGCTTGAAGGTTTTGTAATTTTTCAGTCAGAAAGGTATTTGGCAAGAGGCTGTTAGCTTTTTATTAAAAGCACAAAAAGTTGGAAGTGCTGGAGTCAACAAAAATGTACTCATTGTTACGGAATCTGAAACCACTTGTTAGCAGATAAAAAGACATTAACAGATATTCTGCTACTAAAACTGAGCTACAAGTTTGAGTAATTAGTTTCTCTCAAAAGGTCAAAATTTACATAAAACTCCTTTGGCAAACCTTGAGAGGAGTCATCATAATGCTAAAAAAGAATGGCCACCCATTACAATATACCAGCAAAAGAACGAACTATCCTTTGTATAAAAGATCCCATCACGTGGTAGAAGAAAAATCAATGTGATACAAGACTTTGCTGACTTAAAGCAATAAGAGGCTCCACATATTTATAATTGTAATTCTATGTCCTTGTTTCATTTCCTCGAGAGTGTTTTATCAAAAAGCTCTGTTCTCCAACAACCAGATATCTTATTTAGCAAAATCTAAATAAGCAATTCTATTTTTAGATATTTATTTGTCCAAGTATAGCACTGCAACCTTAACACTGAAAAAAGTAATTTTCTAAAATAAGATAATTGATTTTTTTAAAAAGTATAGCATCCAATTCTATTAGTCATATCCAACAGCCAACTATATTAGTTGTATTTTGATAGAAGAACCATCCAATGCCTTCAATAATATGGATTATCTTGACCCCACAATTTAAAGATATCTGCAAGTTGTTAATAATCAGAAGCTTTAAAATTCCAGTTGTCATTGTATGTGAAGGAGGAAAAGCATGAGGGATTGAGAATCAGTGTATTGTACCCTCAATCCTTCTTATCCACTGGGGATACATCTTGAAACTCCCCCGCAAAAACAGAAACCACTGATACCAAAGCATTTAAGTGATTATAATCTGTACAGAAATAGAAATCTTCAAATATTTACCTATCATTTTGTCAGAAATATCTTATTCCATCAAAGAAGAAACTGCAGCTACAACTATTCCTAGCAATCTTATCTCTCCTTTCCTGATTAATTCTTTTTAGTGTATATGAACACCTACATACAGACAAGTACTGTTGGAGTAAGGCCCCCTTAAAAAAAAAACAATAGGATATGGCAACTATGCAGTTTTTCTGCACATCTGTAGAGTTTACACTTTACCACCAAATCTGACATAAACATGATGTCAGATTTGGTGGTAACGTGTAAGCTCCACAGATGTGCAGTAAAACACATCTATTTAGATATAATAATGCATTTTGATTATAGATTAGTAATCTTACTAAAGTAAACTAAGATTAGCTACTCCCAACCAACCTTAAACATTTTTTTTAAAAAAAAACCTATGTTGCAATTATTGCTATATAGCACCAGAAGTGAACATGATAATACTTTTAATTTTAATATAAGCAAATGCATTTAAACAGATTTTAAAAACCATGTTGAAAGCAATCAGTTTTCAAGCGAAGTGTGCAATTCTTCATGGCTGATTTATTCAAGGCTTCAGGCCACCAGAGGCCGCAACTGAAACAAGCAGTGCCTCTTTTTCTAAAGTGCCATTGTTATTCCTTCAAGCCCAAAGGAAAGATATAAAGGAATTCAGAACTCAGTCTAGCCATCCATCAGCAGGACAACTCTTCAGGAAAAAACAACCCAATGGTACCAAACTTGATGAGGCTGGAAAAAACTAGACACACACAAAAATACACACACACACACACACACAAGACTGAGACTGAAAATCAGTCATATTCTGTCTAGGGTTGAGGAGAAAAACAATCCGGAATAAAGTCCTTTCCAGATATCTTAAGTGAGATAGTTGCTTGGGAAGATCTCTGACTATTGCTGACTCCTCCATGCAATGTTCCTCTCCCTTCCTCTTCCTAGTCTCTGACACAGAGCAGTGCATAAGGACTCACCCTGTGTATCAAAAGGCACACATATACAGAAACACACAGAAGTATTCTACAAGGGAAAGTAAAATCTCTCCTCCACCCCTTCTCTCGCATGTCTCACGCACAAACTTTTTAGTTTGCTACATAAAAGGTGTTTCCTATGGCCAGTGCTGATAAGAAGCCTGGAAAGCATTCTAGAAACCATGATCTGCACAATTTTCATAACTTGTTTTCTTTAACGTGAAGGAGCTAAGATGGTGAAGAGGCGTATAAATCTTTCTTTAACTTCTCATTTAACAAACTCTTCTCTTTCTCATATACAAAAGACACCAAAGAATGGACAAATAGCTCTTGAAACTGATGTGAACTTTCAGAAGGCTTTGGAAATTAGGCACATGATGACATGAAATTATAAAGTTGTATAAGTTTTTCATACCAAAGATCTTAAAGGAGTTTTGTTGACACATAGGAAAAAAAACTCCTTGATAAAGAATAATTGTGCAGTATAACAAGAATTGTACCGTAGAAAATATTAACCATATGATATAATGAGCCACTTTAAAATTATGCCACTGTAAACAATATCACAGCCATCAAATCAAATCAATTCATTTGAATCAAATCAATTCATTGGAATCACATGTTTACACGTAATTTATTTATAGCATTCCTGTTTCATGTTCTAATACAAAATAACGTGCAAGTGACTTAAACCATAAATTAAAACAATAACAATAAATACTAAATCATTGTTTTGAAAGCTTATCTGGAGAAAAAAAATCTGATCCAAGTTTGATGAAAAAGGATGAAGAAGAAAGAATCAGAAAGAAACAAAGGTATAAGGCACTGACTAGTTATTAAAAGCACAGGCAAATGAAATCTTTAAAAAGATATTTATTTGATTTATTCTGCCTTTATTTTTTTTGTCAACTCAAGTCATCATATACCTACCATACCCAATGCTATCACTTATTTTTATTTTAATTCAGTTTAGTTTTGATGCTTAAACAGTAGGCCTTTCTAAAGATAGTTCCTGGGTAGACTTCTGAAAATAATCTCAAAAGAAAGGCACATACAAAAAACTATAAAGAGCTTAAAATTAGTTCTGTGTTATCAGATATGCAACAAATATATCCTGCTAGAAAATGCTGATCTGGAAAATTTCACAGCTCGGTAAGTTATATTATATTCAGTTCTAACACAATGAATGTAAACTAGGGATGGTTTTTTTTTTGTGGCCATGAATAAAGGGGAAGCTGAGGCTATAAAATGGGAAGGAAAGGACCACATTAACTACTATAGGCAGGGCTTGCTGTTTTTCATGTGAAGTTGGAGAGGATTAAAAAAAAAATATTTGTGATATACCCATTTTCAAACTTACACCACAGCTTTAAAGTTGTGATGGAAAATCATGGTAGCAGCTTCCAGCTTTTATGTTGAGGACAGCAGTATGTAGCAAAAAGCAGGGTGCTGTTTGCTACCCATAAGCTAAGCTATACATTTATTTATATGAGTGACACTGAATCATATATAAGCATTTTTCTGCCATTTTACTCCTCTTTTGGGGTAAGAAAGAGCCAGCAAACCCACATTTAATCACCACTTCCCATTATATCCAGATCAGGAACTACAATCAATAGTTTCCAAATAAAATAAGATCCACAACATACATTTAAATCATGGTTTAAAGCTGTCTTATGATCATAGCCAGCTTGGAATAATTACTTATAGTTTCTGATTTGGAAGAAAAGAGAAAGTATGGTTACATTAACATTTCTAGCTAGTTTACTCTTGTGAAATGCAGGAAAAAGTTTCATGTGGGCATATACATTTTAGGGATATGTGATTTATTCAGCCATGAATTTCATCATTGAATCATAATCATATACTGTATTATTTAGACTATTAAGTACATTAATTCCTTTTTGCATGAAAGTTCATTAAGCTGAACAATTTATATGACTAATATAATTTGGGAATACAATGATAGTAACAAGTCATTATAACATCCTCTACTTTTAACATCTTTTGTATTAAGCATTTTGATGTTGTGATATTCAGAAGTTCACAACTCACACCTAGCCAATGGCTTACATTAATAGAAATACAACAAGACTTTCACAAGATGTTTAAATAATTCACTGTAACATTCAAACCAGCCCCATAATATCCAAACCCCCCCCCAAAGAATCAATCACAGCTGTAATGGAAGAGATGAAAGCAAACATGAGCAAAATACCCATTGTTTCTTCATTACTTCATATAAATATTCTCCCACCTTTGGATGCAGTGGAAAGAGAGTGGTTAAATACAATAATACACCCTGCATAGTTTGATGATTGAACGAATGGGATTTTCAGCATTCAGAGACATTTTTTAAAAAAAAGATAAACCAGGCAAATTACTACTCTAGATAGAAGATGAACATATTTGTAACCTAGAGAAAATGATTTGTTCTTTTTACAATTGTCATGGAAGAGAGGAAATGATTTCAAGGGGTATTATTTTAGTATAACTAAAACACAATTTCACTAAAGAAAAAGAAAGGAAAAAAAGTAAAGCTTACCTTGCTAGTGCTATGCCAACAACGCAGCCGCCTACAATGGACCAAAATCCAATCCAACCTGCATCCACCTGGAAAAAAAAGCCAAGATAAAGAAATATAATGTTGTTTCTAGCAGCACAGAAGGTAATTGGTTGATATTTGCTATTTGTATATAATTATTTTGGAGTACAGCTCTGAAAGTAAATTTCTGTTTGGCTATTGATTGATTTATTATCAATTAACTTCCCTAATCTCTTTCTAAACCATCTAAAGAAGCAGACACTTTCTTGAGACCCTCAAGTCTGGTTCCTCAAAACCCTCTTGAGAAAGCAAATACAAGACAGCATATTCAGTGTATGAGATGTATTTTAGGTTGAGTTCAATCTGACAGAGGCATCCACAAGGGGAAGGAGAAATCTGTCCCTTTCATATGTGCATTGTGACATTGCAGGCACATACAAAAGGGGCAACACTTACATTTCAAGAATCTGACACTGTTTTCATCAATTTGACAGAAGTATCAGATCCTGCAGACACCTCTAGATCTACTCCCAATCAATTTCAATATTAAGCATTAGGAATATGATCTGTTGATATTTTTTAAAATCTTTCTGCCACTTTTCTCCTATAATTTTCTAAAAATAATGTATAGTTCAATTGATATCATTTTTCCTCTTTATGATATTCAGCGGTTCATTTTTCATACCCTGAAAATACTACTATTTGCTTCAGCCTGAGACAAAGCACAAACACAGCAATATTGAAGCAATTCATGGTGATTTCTACCTCAATTCCGTTTGATGGAAATCTGTACCTCGCTCTGTTCTTGATTAAAACTCCTCTAATATGAATTTGAGGAGGTTCTTGAATTCAAAAGGTCCAGTGTTGACATGGCAGCTCCAGTGGTGGGATTCAACATTTTTTTACTACCGGTACTGTGGGCGTGGCTTATTTGGTGGGCGTGGCTTGGTGGTCATGTGACTGGGTGGGTGTGGCCAATTCAATGTCACTCACATCAAGGGGTGCCTCACCTGGCCCCTCTCCTCCCAGCCATTCCTTGTCACCTAGCCTCAACTTATCTATAGTTTTGTAAAAATGTTGTTCACCTTTTTTGACTTTATTATCTTCATACTCTAGATGTACTTTCATGGACCACTGAAAGGAGGAAATGGCTCACATGCTTTACCCAAGAGTGTGATAGGCAACAGGCTTTTAAGGGGCTGCCACAAAGAAAGGGGGACAATGTATTTCCCAAAGAAGCAGAATGCAAACAAGCAGCAATGGATGGAAACTGAACAGAAGAAGCAACCTAAAACTAAGGAGAAACTTCCTGACAGTGAGAACAATTAACCAGTGGAACTGCCTGTCTTCAGAAGTTCTGGGTGCTCAATCACTGAAAGTTTTTAAAAGACTGGACAGCCATTTCTCTGAAATGGTATAAGGTTCACCCCCAGGTCCCTTCTAAGTGTTATTCTGTTATTCTGACACCTTTCCCAGGATCTCTACTCAGAATTTGGCATCCTCAGTTTTCTTGCCTGAGCTGGGGGTTGGACTAGAAGATCTCCAAAGTCCCTTTCAATTCTTGTTAAACACATGTGTATTTTATGCTCTGGACTGTTGACATTGAATGCATGGAAACCCTGAAAAATATGTGGTAGCCCTGGGCAAAAGAAAGGCAGAAAATTCACTCTAGGTGTAGAGATAATGTAAAATATTAACACATGATAAATAATGGTACAATTAAAAATAATAGCACAGAGTTTTCTCCTCTCTCTTGCTGTTTTCTTTCTTTCTTTCTTTCTTTCTTTCTTTCTTTCTTTCTTTCTTT